CGTAAAACATGGGCGTGCAACCTGAAAAATCGAAGCTTTAGTCAGGATATGTTGCGTTTTCGTTAGACAGTAAAGCCATCTTTAGTGACAGCATTTCGTAACCTAGATGTCACAGACAATCCCATTCCCCAATAGACAGAATATTGACAATTCAATTTATAATAAAGACCTTCATAGCTTTGGGCGAGGTATTTGCATTCAAATCTGTTCTTCAACCTTTGATTTCTAAGTTTAACCCATAAAATTTTCTGACTAACCTAATGATTCCATTTCATGAACATTAACCAACGTACTGCGTAATTTACACGCTTCGTCCCTTAATGATTTAAGTACTAGGTGGTAGTTGTTGCTCCAAAAAGCTAGTCTCTTGTATATCTATTTGCAGTTAGTTACCTATGGAAACGTGACCTCAGAAATTAAGAGTCTATTGGAGTCTGTTGACCCTTTATACAGAAGGCAAAATTTTGTGCAATAAAAATTAATAAATAAGGGCCTGGAAAGATGATTCAGCTAGTGCTTGTTGCTTCAAGAAATCGGTGCTTCTGGAGATTGGTTCTCAGCACCCATATCCGGCAGTTCACAGCTGCCTGTAACTCCAGTTCTCTTCTGACTTTGGCTCCCCTGGGGACATGCTCCCACACAAACATACATGCATACACATAAATATTAGAAGTCGTTATTGCTGGGTGATGGTGGTGCACGCCCTTAAACCCAACACTCAGGAGGCAGAGGCAGGCAGTTATCTGTGAGTTCTAGACTACAAATTGAGTTCCAGGACAGCCAGAGCTGTTACACGAAGAAACCCTAACCCTAACCCTGTCTCCAAAAACAAACAAACAAAAAGAAAGAAAGAAAAAAGAAAAAAAAAAGAATTATAAGTAGTTATTATAAAACTTTAACTTTTTTGATACATTTAACTTCTAATACTAGAATTAGTTTGATTGTATGTGGGCATAAAGCAGTACTATTGAGATCATAGAGACCGAGGGGTATGAACTTTCCATTTTATTATTTTCCAATTCGGTTATGAGCATCTATTTTGGTATCAAGTTAGTGTTTTACTAACTTCTTTTAAGTTTTAAGGATGTGTGTGTGTGTGTGTGTGTGTGTGTGTGTGTGTGTGTGTGTGTATGTATGTATGTATGTATGTATGTATATATGTATATATGTATGTATTTTAAGTCAGAATGACTTTGAAGAAGACCATGGGATAAATTATGTTACTGCTTCTACAACTTAGATTGCCACTTTTGTTCACTAAAGAATGCCTTCAATAAAACTGACACTGCCTTGCCATCATCATTAGCAATACTGGAAAGGTAGCAACAGTATGCAAGGTTAAATCTGATAGAAGCTAAGTGGCCAAGTTGTGCATTGTGATTCTGCTTCCTGATGACTGGTCTGAGGGGTGGTGTGTAATTGGAATCAATTGCTTTTGTTCCATGTTCTTGTCTCTATTTTAATTACTGAATTTAAGTGCATATCTTAAGTAGAATCTGCCCTCTGACATATAAATCCATCTTTTTCACATTCCTGAATTAATATGCTCATTTACTTGAATCACAGAACATTGTTACTAAACTTAAAAAAGAAAGAAAGAAAAATTGCATGGACCTTTTTTTTTGGTTTTTCGAGACAGGGTTTCTCTGTGTAGCTTTGGAGCCTATCCTAGCACTCGCTCTGGAGACCAGGCTGGCTTCGAACTCACAGAGATCTGCCTGCCTCTGCCTCCAGAGTGCTGGGATTAAAGGCGTGTGCCACCAACGCCCGGCTTCTCTGGACTTTTTTATATAATCTTAGATCTACAAGTATTACCAACCACTAATTAATATGCCTTTCTCTAACCTGAGGTCAAGCACTGATGTTTTGAATAGATTTTTTTGGGGGGGTGGGGGGATGAGGGGGTCTGAGACAGGGTTTCTCCGTGGCTTTGGAGGCTGCCCTGGAACTAGCTCTTGTAGACCAGGCTGGTCTGGAACTCACAGAGATCTGCCTACTTCTGCCTCCTGAGTGCTGGGATTAAAGATGTGTGCCACTACTGCCCGGCTAGAATTTATTTGTTTATAATTAGATATTGTAAAAAAAATTGCAATCACTTCTTTACTCGAAAACAGTCAGTGTAGTTAAATAATTAAGGAGAAAGAATTTTGACTTTATAATGAAATGATGTAGTTCTGCCATTTCCAGCAGAAAGCTCCCCTAAGGCCGTTGGCACACCCAGAGAAAACTTGCAGCTCCCTGTCTGCATAGAATACCTATATTTGGGGAGCCAAGTGTGATGAAGTGCCACATTCTGCATATAAAGTCTGCTTTTGTTTAGTTAGTATGTTGTCAGCTCTATATGGTGTTCTTCTGTCTTATTCTCTTCAGTTTTATCTTTCTGAGGTTTGCATCTTTTATTCCTGTCTCCTCAATGTAAATGTGAAAACCCATGCTTGCCTTGTTTTAGATGGTAGAAAAAAATGTGTCCGATTAAAATGTAGTTGAGAATGATAGGTATTTTGTAAATTCCTTCTTTCAAGACGAGGATACTTCATGCCAACTCCTATTGGCTGAGGGTATTGAATTTCATCCAGTAGCTTCTCTTCATTTATTGAGCTGACCAAGTTGACATTTTTCATTAGTTTGTTGATGCAGTGAATTGAACTGGTTTTAAAAGTTGAGCAATACTTTTGCACCAGACTAAAACTTGGTCACTGTATTCTATTCCTTTTATATTTCTGTTTGATGTGCTGAAATTTAGTTATTTTTTATGTTTATTGTCAGGATGATATTAATCTGTTGCTTTCTTATAGCATCTTTGGTTTTAATACTGCTAATTCTTGTCTATTTTTTAGGTAAGAATATATACTCAATATCTCTGTGATGGTTTGCATATTTTAGATTTGTTTTCTTTGCTTTTTTTGCTCCTAAAAATTTCCCTCCTTTGCGTTAACTTTTGAACTCTATTGTCAGTGACTACAAAATTAAGGGTTCTTTTTCTTTCTTTTGCAGTACTGGCTTGTCTGAAGTATCAATGCTTTTATTTGGTCTTTGTTCCTCTATATAATATGCCTTTATTTATTTACTTATATTATTATATGCCTGCTTTTGAGATTTTTCTGGTTATTACTGATTTTAAGCAATCTGTTATGGTATTACTATAATTTTATCGTGTTGATTTTTCTGAGGTTCTATTCAACTTGGATATGTGAATGTGTGTCATTTTTATTAAATTGGAATTTGGTAATTATTTCTGCAGGATTGCTCCTTTTTCTTCTGTCCTTCAGAAATTCTTAGTTTCTGCTTGAAGCTGTGTCCCAAAACCCTGATTCCCCTTTTTAAACAATCCGTTTTATGTTGATCATTTCTGTTGCAGTGACTTCAGATTCATTAGTCTTTTTCTGTCTTACTGGTTGACATATCTCTTTTTTAAATCTCCAAATATTTAATGGGGTTCTTTTAAATTATCTTCCATATGGAGCCTTTCCATGCTGGAGTTTCCCTCTACTACCTTGAGTGTGTGAAGTGTAGGTGACAGTCACATTAAAAGACCTTTATAAATGTGACCCTCCCAGTCAGTTTGTGAGTCCTTGGTCCTGGTGGATTTTATTTACCTGCTTCTCTGCATGATTCCCCATTTTCTGTTAGATGTCAGGTTTACATTTTACTGTGATGAAGGCTGTATATACTTACATATGTCCATGTTAACTCTTTGGGTTTTGTTCTTAGGCATAGGTGAATTAAGATATTTTTATGTCTTTGATGCTTGCCTTTTTTTAAAAAATAAAATGAGTGCAGCCTATTTTATGCTAAGTAACCCCAGTAGCATTGTTTCTCTACACAAAACCCACAACCTCCTTGAGTAATTTATTCAGGTGAATGTGAATGTGTCCAGCAGATACAACTTGCTTGCCCCATTGCTTCCACTTCTGTGGAATCCTGCCCTGGGAGTACTAGCTGCCTTCACTTCTCTGAATTCCTAACTCTGCCTCACCCAGTGGACTGTTGTGCTGAGCCATTCTCCCAGGAAGAAAGATGGGCAAATTCTCCTTTCCAGTGTTTCTTCTTTCCAGTCATATTAATTCCTACTGTGTCTGAAATACTTTTTTTTTTTTCCCCACTGTTACTTCATCTCGACCTGCATTTATTTAGGTAATTATCTCAAGTACTATTCCCCATTCATAATTTTGTTATCAGCTATGTCTTTTTGTTCCTGGATAGCTTGTTAGTTCTTTTGCTTTTTTTGTTTTTTTCCCTTTCTACTCCTTCATTATCCCCGTGATTCCATTCATCCTGATCTACTATTTTCTCTTTTCATTTTTAAGGTAGTGTTCTGTCTTTGTTTCTGTAGCTCAAATAAAGTACGCTGGCAGGATATTTCCTTTCTCATTGGGTTAATGGGTTATTTTTTATTTAAAATGTCTTATTTTTTCATTTATAGTCATAGAACTCTTTCTTTTTAATTTTTCAAATGTGTGTTTTCATAATCACTATGCTATCTATTTCTGTTCCTGAGACATAATGTAAAACTGCTTTGTGTACATCTTACTAGTTATATTGGCTGTACCAGTTTCCTACACACAATTTCCCTGAAATATCTGTGATTCCTTTCTTCAGAGTGGAATACCCAGTTTCATCCAACCTGAAGTCTGAACTTTGCCTTTTTGAGACATTCTTTGGTAATGCCTGTACACATTAAGCTCTTCTGGTCAAGAGCCTATTCACTTCCTAGTTTAGTGTAGAGTTCATTAGAGAAGTTAGCTAGTTAGCTAATTGTTAATCAGTTGTTCACTTAGCCTTTTTTTTTAAAAAAAAATCGTTCTTATTGTTCTATTGCTATAAACAGAAGTGGAAGAGGAAAAAAAAATAAGACCACCAATTTCTTTGGTGTTGTAGATAATGTATGTGAACCAGATGTTTTCCATCTTTTTTAACTAATGTCATTGTTTCTCTCCTTTTCAGCAAATAGCATGTACATTTTTATTGAACTATGCTGATCTTTCATATTTTTTCCCCAGATACCATGTTTGTGTGGCAGCGCCCCATGCTTGCTGTGCCGATGCTGCCCTAGTGGAAACAACTCCACTGTTACCAGATTGATCTATGCACTTTTCTTGCTTGTTGGAGTATGTGTAGCTTGTGTAATGTTAATACCAGGGATGGAAGAACAACTGAATAAGGTCAGTCTTTTGTTTACAACTGATGAACTGAAATTGCATAATAAACGTACGTTACTTTTGGGTACTAAAAAGAAAGTAATATAAAAATATAATACTATGTAATCCTAGTTTTAGTAGATCATATTCTCTTATGAAAGACATTATGAGGTAGCCTGTTCAATTCTGATGGTAGCACATATATTGCTTTCTGGCAGTTTTTACAGTTTTTGGTTTCCCACCAGAACTGGATGGTAGATTCCATTACCGAAGACACCACATGCTATAGTCTCAGGAAATAAAGAAATCAAGCTGGCAATAGTCTAGATACCTCCTTCCTGCTGAAGGTGCTATGCAAGCTGTTGGGGAAGAATTGTCATCAGCAGTCTCACTTGGTCCAATGACAAGCCTGTTAGAGTGACCAGTTGCTTTGTGATTAGATTTGAGGCCCCTTGCACTGGAAGGAATTTACATCTGTGGTATTGGAAATTCTTTTACTGTAAACCTCATTGAAAGCATGTGACTATAGTATTGCACCTAGTGTGGGTTCTACTGCTATTGTAGTCCATCTGAAGTCCATCAGATTTCCTTCTAAGAAACTGTTCTTCAAACCTATAGATAAGTGATATTGTCAGCTTTGGTCAGAGAAGCTTGTTTTTTACAGTGGATGCCTACAGAGTGTCTGCAGTACCTGCAGAGGCCCATAAACTGGTTAGAGTGTTGAAAATACCTGAAGGTTGAATGCTCAGCCATAAATAGATTATGTATGTCACTGTTTCCAAGGCTCAGTGAACATTGCTTAAGTAGGGACAGAAAGAAGTTAAGAGCCAGAGGAAAATGAAGAGTGACATCAAATCTCAACTTTTTTTTTTCTTTTTTTCTATTTTTTAAAATTTAAATTAGAAACAAGCTTGTTTTACATTCCCAGTTCCCTCTCCCTCTGCTCCTCCCCTGACCCCCCCACCGACCCTATCCCAACCCCTTTCTGCTCCCCAGGGAAGGTGAGGCCTTCCATGGGGGGTTCTTCAAAGTCTGTCATATCACTTGGAGCAGGGCCTAGACCCTCCCCAGTGTGTCTAGGCTGAGAGAGTATCCCTCTATGTGGAGAGGGCTCCCAAAGTTCATTTGTGTACTAGGGGTGAATACTGATCCACTACCAGAGGCCCCATAGATTGTCCAGAACTGCAAACTGACATCCTCCGTCAGGGGGTCTGGAAAAGTCCTATGCTGGTTTCCTAGCTATCAGTCTGGGGTCCGTGAGCAACCCCTTGTTCAGGTCAGCTGTTTCTGTGGGTTTCTCCAACCTGGTCTTGATCCCTTTGCACATCCCTTCTCCCTCTCTGCAACTGGATCCCAGGAGTTCAGCTCAGTGTTTAGCTGTGAGTGTCTGTGTCTGCTTCCGTCAGCTACTGGATGAAGGCACTTGGATGACATATAAGGTAGTCATCAATCTCATTATCAGAGAAGGGCTTTTAAGGTAGCCTCTCGACTATTGCTTAGATTGTTAGTTGGGATCGACCTTGTAGATCTCTGGACATTTCCCTAGTGCCAGAATTCTCTTTAAACCTATAATGTCTCCCTCTATGATGGTATTCCTTTTCTTGCTCTCCTCCATTCTTCCCTTGACTAGTTCTTCCTGCTCCCTCCTGTCCTCCTCTCCCCTTCCCTTCTCTCTCTCTCTTTTTTCTAACTCCCTCCCCCCCTCCCCCATTAGCTTAGGAGATCTTGTCCCTTTCCCCTTCTCCAGGAGACCATGTGTCTCTCTCCTAGGGTCCTCTTTCTTTCCTAGCTTCTCTGGAGGTGTGGATTGTAGGCTGCTACTTCTTTGCTCTAGATCTAAAATCCATATATGAGTGAGTACATACCATTTTTGTCTTTTTGTGACTGGGTTACCTCACTCAGGATGGTTTCTTCTAGTTCCATCCATTTGCCTGCAAATTTCAAGATTTCATTGTTTTTTCTGCTGAGTAGTACTCCATTATGTACATGTACCACATTTTCTCTATCCATTCTTCAGTTGAGGGGCATCTACGTTGCTTCCAGTTTCTGGCTATTACAAATAATGCTTCAGATGTCATTGTTGTATGAGTGTGCATCTTTTAGGTATATGACTAAGAGTGGAATTACTGGCTCTCCTGGTAGATTTCAAATCCCAACTTTCAGGCATAACATAACCATTCTACTTGCAAACTCACAGCATCTGGGTGTGCACAGAATGTGTGCAATATTGGATGCACTAACATCCAGTGATGGAGAAGGTAGGAGCTCACAAGATTCTGCCTTTTCTGGAATTCCCATGCAATTAGTAGTTTTTGGGGGCAAGGAGGGGTATTTTCTTCAGTGATGTAGCCAGTGTTAGGATGCTCATGGTTCTGTAAAGAACCCTTCAATGCTTCTGGAAGCAACTCTAATGAAACTCAATGGGTCAAAGGAAAAAAACAGAAGATAGGAAAGTAGAAAGGTTGAGATAGGAAGATGACAGGGATCAGCAGGAAATGGAGGGAGGCAAGTGTGTGATGGGGTGAGTATGATCAAACACATTATATGTATGTATGAGAAAAAATGTCATGTTGAAAACTATTGTATATAACATATATATGTATGTTATACACATAAAATACATATATAGAGAAAAAAGTAAAGAAACTGTACATTGGTAATGTCACTGTAATTGGAAAGTGGACTGTATGTGGGGTCCACTTTTTTTTCTTTTGTTCCTGAAAGGTGACATTTAAAAATAAGTAAAACTTAAGTGCAGTGCCTGAAAATGAGGAAGCAATAATGACTAGGAAAGATCTGAGTAAATTATGTCTGAAGATTAACTTTATAAAGACAGAAGTCAAGTGCATAAATAATAGAGGCTATTGCAGTGATAGGATCAGTGAGGGAACAGACCTCAAATAGATATTATTGATTTTTGTAGTGACTGAGTCTGGCTGGAATTCAAATATTGGTAGTTCTAGAATTTCATCATCCAGGTTCTAGTTCTTGGAAACTAGGGGGAAAGTACTGGTCTTAACCCAGAAACAAGGGCTGGAGAGAGGCGGATCAGTGTTTGATCCTCTTCCAGAGGACCAGAATTTGTTTGCTAACATCCATTGTGGTGGCTCATGGCTGCCTGAGATCTGAAGGCCTTCTTCTGGCCTTTGTAAGTACCTGTAGTCATGTGCATATATGTACACACAGATACATAATCAAAAATCAATCTTTGAAAAAAATGAAAATAAAGTCATTTTCAGTTTTTTTTTTTCCTTCAGTGAGTTGGCTAATGGGAGCAGAAGGGAATACATAGTTTGCAACATGTTGACTTGAAGTTGCCATATCATATATTTGTGTGCATGTAATTCAGTCTGCTAAAAGAGTAATATTACAAAAAGGTGGTTTAACAGAAATAAATGTCTGTCTTACATGTTTGGCTGTGGAATATTGAAATAAGGGTGCCAAGAAGGTTGGGATCCAGTGAGGATCTGTTGTTTGCAGTTGGCTGTCCTGCATTTTCATGTTGTAAGGAGAGAAGTAGCAGGCTGTGTCATACCTTTTCATGTAAAGGTACAAGTCTCTTTTAATGAAGGATGAACTTGATGGTCTAATTCTTCTCCCCTTCCTAATCTTGTTCTATTAAGGATCAGAGTTACAAGATAGGAATATTGGGGCCAGTTAGGTAACTTGGTGGCTGTGGCTAAATGTATTTGCTACCAAGCTCAAGTGAACTTAGTTCCATCCCAGGAACCCACACAAAGGAAAGAGAAAACCAACTAACTCCCTTGAGTTCCATCTGATCTCCAAAAGTATACTATGACATATGTACATACATAATAAATAAATTTTAGATATATGAATTTTGGGCAGATGTTATGGTAGCCAAACCCTGTACATCTATGAGGAAATGGAACACATTAGTACTCACTCTGAAGTGAGTACGTTTCGAGAGCTGGAAGTGGAAATCCTGGCAGCATGTGCTGTAGAAACCCATTCAGGGTTAGCATGCCATAGCTTCCTTAACAGCTAGCTCTTCAGGGAGCTGACAGAGAGGAGGCACAGCACCAGGAGAAGCAATGAGGAAAGCCACAGACATACAGGATTTAGACAGAATTGTTGGAAAGACTGTCATTGTACCAAGGATTAAAGAAGGTAAGGACTTCAACAGCTGTTGGATATGACTGGTAAAAAAACTAATATCTAAAATTCAATAGATTTGGGATGCTGGGACTAGGTGTGGGAGAAATAGTTTATTCTTATACATTTAATATATGTAGTTTTAAATAATGCTGACACAACTCACAAAAGTTCCTTTTTTGCATTCTGATTTCACTGTGACTGTGTCTGTGAGTGTGTGTTGGTGGAGATCAAGCCCACAGCCTCACCTGTGTTACATGGGAAGGGCTATATTACTATACCTCTCCACCCCTACCCAGTTACCTTTCTGAAAAGGTCACTGCTATCTCTCAAGATTCTCAATTAAAATATGAATATATTGTCAGCTCTAGTTAAGTCAGTAATCTAACCTTGCCCAGCCTAGACATAGAGGTGTGGGGGTGGAGAGGTGACTTGCTCCTGCCTCAACTAGATGATGGGACAGACTTAGTAGACTTCCTAGGGGAGGCCTTACCCTCTCCTTGGAGCAGGTGGGAGGAGAGGAGGGAGGGAGAACTGGATTTGGAATGTAAAAAGTAAATTAATAAAAATGTATAAAAAATAGAAAAAAATAAAAAAGTCAATAATCTACTTAAGATCAGAAATAGCTCCTAAAAGTCTTATACTCAAAATGGATTTAAATAGCATTGGTTTTAAAAAGCCATTCTTTTTTTTTCTCTACAGTCTTAGAAATGACTGTTTTATGTAATTTAAGCTTTTGTTCATTTCTTCTCACCTTACATATGTATGTAATATGTACCTTACAGTACAATGCAAGTCTTATAAAATTTAGAATTATGGTATCCTATAAATATGTGCATTTTGTTTTTATGTAACATTCAGATACACATTTAAAGAGTTAAAATACATTGTCAGCTCAAAATAATCATCCAGCTTAGATGTGGCTATTGTTAATTTATTATTATTGTTCATTTGGAAGTTTTGATGTTTGTGTGTGTGTGTGTGTGTGTGAGAGAGAGAGAGAGAGAGAGAGAGAGAGAGAGAGAGAGAGAGAGAGAGAGAGAGAGAGAGAGTGAGAGAGAGTGTGTGTCTTGCTGTGTAGCCCCAGCTGGCTTGGACCTATATGTAGACCAGGCTGACTTTGAAATCATGGAGCTCTGCCTGCTTCTGCCTCCCCTAGTGCTGGGAGTAAATGCTTGTGCCACCATGCCTGGCCCCAAACGTCCCCCAACCCCAGTTAAAAATGCAGCAGGGTTATTTTATGGCTTGTAATGCAGATTACAGTTTACATGGAACTTTGAGTTCATGAAAATACTGATCATAAACCCATTTTGTTTTCCTAGATTCCTGGGTTCTGTGAGAATGAGAAAGGTGTTGTTCCTTGTAATATTTTGGTTGGCTACAAAGCTGTGTATCGCTTGTGCTTTGGCTTGGCCATGTTCTACCTTCTCCTCTCTTTACTAATGATCAAAGTGAAAAGCAGCAGCGATCCTAGAGCCACTGTCCACAACGGGTAAGCCTTGAATTACTTGAGAGAAAAGTCTAGAGAGCCTTTTTCCCTCCTGGTAATTTTGAGTTTATCCAAAGAAATTTCAGAGCAGAATGAACTTGACCATGGAAAAATTTTTAAGAACTCGGGTTGATTTTACTAGAGTCTTGATTGGATATTAAATAATGGTGTTGAGTCATTGATCAGCATCACCTCTGATGATGTATTTTAATTTCAAAGGAGGATGTATATCTGTGATTGAAGGAAGAGGTACTGTTGCCCCTTCTTTTAGCTTTTGGTGACCTGGTCCTCTTTCAGAGAACTCTCAATTTCCTAGATCTATAAGGCAGCCATAGGGAAAGAACTTTATTCCTGAACAGGCACCGATTTTCTAGATGATTGTTTTCATAATCTAGAAAGAAAAGAAGTGCTAATTGGTCTTCTTTAATATCGAATACCTCATCTTGTAGTTTATTTGAATGTTTGAATTTTGTCTGTTTCTTCCTACAAACTAATTTCTCCTTAATATGTTATTGCTGATTTGTCAAGATGCTATGCCAAAGATGGGATAAAAATGTAATATTACATTAATAAAAATGTTCTTTAACAGGTTTTTACCATTGTAGTTATTGGCTGTCTTAAATTATTGTTTGGGATATGGGCATTTGTCATAATTTATTAAACCTATTCATTTTGTGAAATGAAATTTTACTTTATATATTCACATATTATCCAGTTCAGTCCTTTGGAATGAAGCCAGTATTCTCAAATTAATTAGTGGCACATTTTTCTTAAGACCAACTTTACAATAGCCTATGTAGGGGTCTTTTTTTTTTTTTTTAAGTGTATGCTTAAAACTATTATGTAAAGTGTAACTGCTCTTTAAATGGTTCTGAAAAGATTTACTGTTGGAGTTATTTGTTGGGTGCTTATTATTAAAAATTACATTTCTTTCTATCTTAGATTCTGGTTCTTTAAATTTGCTACAGCAGTCGCAATTATTGTTGGTGCTTTCTTCATTCCAGAAGGCACTTTTACAACTGGTAAGGATTTTTTTTTTTTAATTCTGTGATGATATTTTTGTTTGTTTGCTTGTCATATAGGATGCCACAGTAACTGCTACCTGGGAGTTGTCATCCCCCTCCTCCCCCCAGGCATTTTGTGAGTTCTATTGCATACATTTTTTTTTCCCAAGAAATTTTTTTTTATTAGTTCAAATTAGAAACAAGCCTGCTTCAGATGTCAATCCCTTATCCTTCTCCCTCCCCTCCCCCTCAGCCCCCACCAGGCACTCATCTCATCCCCCCCCTCTGCTCCCCAGGGAGGGTGAGTCCCTCCATGGGGGTTCCCCAAAGTCTGTCCTATCATCCTGGGCCATGCCTA